AGAAAGAGTGACTGCAGGCAATAAACTTACTTATCTCTTGCTGGAGATGGTGACCAGATTATGGAACTCTGTTGAGTAGACCTGCCTCTGCACAGGTGGCTTGCCAATATGCCCATGAAAATACTTCCCCCGACTGAAAAATTGGCATTTGTCTTGGAGAGAATTTCTCCCCGTACCAAAGAAGTCCTGCAATTGAATGGTTGGGGTTTGTTTGGTTTTTTTTGCAAATGGCATCGTTGTTTGCATGGGTTATTGTGGAAGGCCCTAATAATCTTGATCGAGATGGACTGAACATGAAAGCCCACATGACTTCCCTCCCAGTCTTCCAGTTGCATCCCAGAAGGCAGACCAGTGGGTTCAGGTCGGCAACGTAGAATTTGTTTCCCATGAAAAGAACAGGAACCTAATTTTCATTGGGAAACTGTTCTGCTTGGCCCGTTCCCTCGGAGGGTGTAGTCGGTGAGCGTGCCTTCTGCACTGGGATATCGTCACTGCCTCACCTGTGTGTTTATTTCAAAATGCAAGCAGAAGTCTCAGCCTGGCAGTGCATGTGTCTGCTGCCACAGGCTGATTTCTACATGCAGACGCATGTTTACGTGGCTTGCTGCCCTGCAGGCGATTGGTTTAATATCCCAGGAAAGTGCTGTTCTGGATGTAGCTAAGAGCAAGCCCTACCAAGGGCAAAATGAATCCTGGTGAAGTCAGTGCCCATCAGAAGGCTTTGATTTTTATTTTTTTTTCCCTTTGTTTGAAGCTTTCACTCAGCCTGACTTCCCAATCCAGAATGGCTTAAGAGGCTTTTCTTTACTGGATGCAAAAGACCAAGACAATTGTGGGTTTGAGACGATTTTACATCTGACTGCAAGGTTGAGCCACTCTTGGCATAAGCAGTTCTGGTGTGAGACCTAGGGGCATGGCAGTCATAACCTGGCCTCCTTCCTTGCATCAGGTCCATTAAATTCACAAACACATCTTGCCCAGCAACCCCAGACCAACTCTCGATGCAGTTTTTTGGATAGTCAGCTTTTGTCGTCTTTTTTTTTTTGTTTTTCTCGGCAGAGCCATGTTTTGAAGCAGACGAGTTGCGTTAATGTTTGGGGAGGAGACTCGTTTATACCAGTAAAACATTTTTAAATTCTGCAAGGATCCCTTATCACATGGAGAGCGCTAGCCTTGCGGTATCTGCCAAGCACGTGGTTTAGAACAGGTTGAGGGTGAAGACGCCTACCAAAACTCCGCTGCTGTGTCTAAGCTTTGACTCCAGTTTGGCCTGTAATAGTTGACGCTTGGTCTGTTGGAGATGCTAAAGAGCTTTCATTTCCCACTGACCTGAATGAGCGCCTTCATGCTGAGTGCCTTGATTTTTGAGGTAAGCTTGTAGATTGAGCCATCGGTCTGAGAACTTCTGTCCATAGGAAGCCTGCAATAGAGCCAAAATGTGTGCAGATGCAAATACTCCAAAGGTCACATCCTGTACCGTGATGGTATAATGCCTAGTAGTGCACGTTTCCATTGGACGCCAGAGCGTTTGGGTCTACACTGCTTGCCTGTCAAAGCCTTGTAGTGGTCTGGAATAAATGGTGCCCGATACTGTGAGCTTGCATGTTTTGGGTACATTTTAAGTATCTGAGCTAAGTCTCCCCATTTTGGGGCAAACGTTGCTCCTTTCCAGCAGCTGCCATTGCGACCGCCGATAGCCAGCAGATCTAGAAATCTGTGCTGTTACCAAAGGTGGTGGGATGCTGTGGGAGTGGGAAGCTCGCAGCAAAAGAATGGTTGTCTAGCCCTTCCTAAGACCAAAATTACTCCAGACCTTGGGGATATGCAGTACTAAAGCAGAAGCTGGCCATCCCCTCGGCACCAAAGGGATTTTGTGTCCTACAGAACCTGACGGTTGCCCATTGCGTTGTGGCCCGTGGGTCGCACGCTCCACCTTGCGAGGGGTCTGGTGATCCGTACGTGCACACATGACCCGCAAAGGCATAGGAGGGGCTGCCCGAGCTGCAAGGGCTGCCTTCTCCTTTGCGTGACAAATTCTTGCAATGTGAAACCGCAACATTCAGCGTCTCAGGCAGAGAGGACTTGATAGTCATCTCCCAGTTCATTGATTGGACCAAATGTGGTGCTAAATATGTTCTTAAATATTTGTAATATTTATGTTTTTTAGTGTTTGATCACAAAGATGCAGTGTCCTTTTCTGTAAAAGAGAAATCTAGCCCTGGGTTTCGAGCTCAGCAAAGCCCCCAGAGGACCTTTTAAAGGTTCAGAGTTGTTCATTAACACTTGGCGCAGGCTTCCCATGCGTGGGGTGGGGGGAGGTGGGGGGAGAAAGGATACTCTATCTTCAAATGCTTGCAGACTGTAAGATTTGATTTGTGACTTTTGTTTGTATTTTGTTTACATCACCTCTTTATACGCCCTGAGAACAAAAATAAATTTTTTTGACCTTTTTAATTGTGACCCCAGGTTTTGGTTTTATTTCTCATCCTTTTTCTTCTTTTTCTTGCGTTTTTTTCCCATCCCCCCCCCCCCCCCCCCCCCGCCCTTTTTGTTCGCCTGATCTCATTGTCAATATGACCCTGAGGACAGATTCAGCTTCACTGTACCCTGTGCAGGGGTAAAACTTGGTCTGTTCCAGTTGTGAGCAGAGAGCAGATTCACGTGTCTGTTCCAGCACAGCTTTCATGGGGGGGATTTCTTTTAACCTTTGGATGCTTTTGTTCTTTTTCTTCCATCCTACTAGGTATAGTGAAACCTGACCTCATCTTTGACCTCCATCCTAGTTTCAGGTGCCAAAAGAGGCTCCACATGTTCAGCAAGACTCCAGAATGAAAATGGGCAGTTGTTTTCTGTACAGGTGAGCTGGAGGGGTGGCCAGCAAGATAATGTGCCTAAGCAAAGGGAGCTGGCTCTGGTGGAAAGACGGCCTTTTAGCCCGCTATGGAGCCCTCTCAGTGAACTTCTATTGATGTGAAAGGATTGAGACCACCCAGTATCTCAAGACTGAATTGATGGACTGCATGCAAAGGCATCCATGCCAGGGAGCAATGAGAACTGACAGTGCAGGGAGAGGGGGCTTGCATGCTATCAACTCCTGGTTGACTCTAGTGGGCTTTGAAGCTGTTGGAGCCCAAGTCTGTAAGGTCCCAAATGCACAGGGCACTTCTGTGAGCATTAACAGCTCCCTACTTCTCCCATGAGCATAACAAAGGCAGAGTTCAGGAATGGGCCTGGCCTGCGGGCTTGTCTGACCCTGCTCCCTGGAGCCAGTGCAAGGTTGGGCAGCACCCTTCGATTCTTCTGTCCTTCATGAGTATGTGTCAAGCCTTTTAGCAGATGCCAATTTTGTCCATCCCCAAGTACTTCACAGACCACTCTCCCTTGCTCCCCTGGCCATAGAGCCTCGCCCATCACCATCGTTCCCTTTCATAGTTTCTAGGGTCGGAAGGG